CCCCCCCCCCCCCCCCACTGGAGGCAAGGAGCTATAGCATAGCCAAATCTCTATATCACACTACCTGGAGAATGCCTGAAATTGTATAAGTCAGATTGTAAAAGAGACGCTATCAGGATAATCATAATAAGAGTCAGAAATAGCCTGTAGCTAATTCTGGGAGGCATTCTGGAAGTCCTCCAGCTCTTACCCCCCAAAATGCGGCCCTCTAGAATCCCAAAATGATATCCTTAAAAAGTATCTTCTTTGGGTAGGGCCATTGTCACTTGAACACATTTAAGAAAAGGCTTCACATGGCGCCCTAGTGGAAAAAAGTTGCTGAGTTTTTTATCCAGCACTACACTGGACCTGAGAACAGGCCCCTCAGAATTGAGGCTGCAATGAGGGGAAGCACCCCCAGGGGGGCGGGGGAAAGAGCTGGGCCTGGGGATTGCTGTTCTAAGGGGACTGCTAAGGCTCTGGGGTGGGTGCATGAGCCCCCAGAGGGCGATGAGTACCTAAGGTGGGGGAGGGAAAAGCAAGTATGTGGCAGATGCTGCTAAAGTTGCCTACTAACATATTCCCCTTCTGCAATTCCATCAGAATCCTGATTTTTGTTCCGGGAGACAATGTCTCTTTAGATTCGTGGCCTAGTTGAAGTCACTGGGTGGGAAAGCTCTGTGAAAGGAGTCAGACTCAGCTGGAATGCTTCTTTCTGCCTTTTTCTCTCCCACTTTCCCTTTTTCCTGCCTGGAATGTGGACTTAAAGGCCAGAGGTGCCCAAGTCATCTTGTATTAGGAAGGGAGCCATATGCCAAGGGAGGCTGAGCAGAAAGATGGAAGGAGTTTGGGTCCTGGATAACACCGAGAAGCACTGTAGCAAGCCCGAGCTGCCCTTCTTTGGGATTTCTTTTTTCTTTTTTCTTTCTTTTTTTCACGAGAAAATTAACCCCCTATGTGTTGAGCCACTTTATTTGGGTTCCTCTAACTGGCAGCTGAACACAACTGATAAAGGGTGGGAGAGCCAGGCTCTTTTTCCCTCCCAGGTGACCCAGCTCTGGACAAACAAATTATCCTCTCTTTCCCGTACCTCTTTCGCTTACCTCTAGCAAATTCTGTCTGTTTTATCCTCCAAAAGAAATGCCAAGTTCAATCACTTACTCCATAAGTGATTGAACTTGGCACTCTAGCCTGGCCCAAGCCACCATTTCTTGCCTGAACTACTGCAATGTCCTTCTAAATGATTGCTCTTCTTCTACTTTTTCCTCCCTATAATGGATCCTCCACATACACTTGAACTTTATAAGCAAAGATCAGGTCAGAACGTTCCAGTGAGTTCCACTGCACTAGAGTAAACGCCTCACAAGAGGCACTAAGTGATGTCACCCCTTTCAACTCTACTTCTCTCTCTTGCTCATGCTCTTCAAGCCACACTCGCCTACTTTTCTCAGTCTGTCCCACTTTGCACTTGCTGTTCCCTTTTCTGGAGACACTGTGCTCTATTACATCTTCATGATTGTGTCGTTTTTTTAAAAAATTCAGATCTCAGTTTAAATGCACCTCGTTGACAGGGACTTACCTGACCACTCAGCTAACTCCCAGCTAGACTTACTCTCTATTAAGGCACCTTGTTTGTTGCCTTCATAACATTTATCACCTCGTTCATATCTCGCCACTATGGATTCAGCGTCTAGAACAGTGCCAGGCATAAAGCATGTAGCTAATAAACATGAGGTGATCAAATAAACAGTATTTCTCAGTTCTCCAAACATATTTGCTCTTGCCTCCTGCATTTGAGTCATGCTGGATCCTAGGTAAACTGCATACTTTCATTTCCTCTCTCTCTCTAGCCACATCTCACATTCCCTCCTGGTCCCAGATGAAGGCTCACCTCCTTTGATCCTCCCCTATTTCAGCTTTCTGCACTGAGCATCCTTTCCTGCAGAACATAAACATGTCTGTCTTATCGCAAACACACCGGCTTCTCCTCCCAGCTACTCTCCCTCCAGCAGTTTATGCCTCCGCATTCTTCCTTCCCAGCTTTACTGCCATTTCCTTAAGAAACAGCAGAGCTTCTCCTTCTGCCTCCTTTCCCACCGTTTATTGGGATTTTCATAAATGATTTGCTGAAACATGCTCTTCGCAAAGAGGTCTAACACATAAGGAAAGTATCATGAGAGACTGCAAACAGCTGGGGCGATATCTTACCTTATTTCACCGCCAAGAGTTCTGTACGTGCTTTTATAAAACCCTACAAAGCCATCAGCTAACTTGCCCTGAAAGTCAATGGCCACATAGTATTTCAGGTCAGCCATAAGTTTCTCTGGAACCAGCAGAGCAATTTGCTCGTGAGCAGGATAACTCAACACATCCAGCTGTCTCCCCGGCTTCCTGTATCTCAAATCTTCCTCTGAATGAAGGGTGGCATTCATGATTTCATGATCTCTGCTGTGTAAGACGATAAATTGGGTGGCATCTCTGACTAAGACTTCAATCTTCTCAGATGCAACGAAGTCCAGGGAGGTGAGGTTTGGGTGAACAAAAAGGTCATAGTGGAGGGGAATGACCGTGTTGGGGAGCCTTAGCTCATGCCAAGGAAATGGTTCTCCATTGGTGGCCTCTGGGAAAGCCCCAGGGTCCTGATTGAACTGATCACTAGATGGCATGGAGAACCGAGAACAAATGCATATTTTAGGTAAGATGATTGCTGTACAGTAAAATCCTATGTAAACATTAAGTATTAGTTTTCTGTGTGAATTAACCATTGCAGAAGAGTGGAATGTCAAATCTATTCTCTAGAAGATACGTTGCTCTCCAGACTAACTCTCGTAGTTCTTCATAGCACTATATCGGCTCCAGTTGTTTCACATAGGATTTGAACAATGTTTTATTACATTGATTTAATCTAGAAGAAAATAAAACATTATTAGCACGAAAAAAAAAGATTTCAGCTCATAAGTAAACCTTAAAAAATTAAAAGGATATATGGGAATAGGGAAAACCTGCTTGCTATCAGAATCAGGTCAAATATCCACTAAATAAAGTAGAAATTGGGCTATTATCTGGTTATATTACAAATACAAATTTTTTTAGAACTCTAATGAAAGGCCTCTGCCTTGAAATTGTATGGAACAAATGCCCTCTGCATTTCAGTACAATGAGCAGAAGGAAGGTGTGTAAATACATTGCCTGGTGAATGCTTCTCACATTTGGCTACATCATCCTAAGAGTATCTTGAACACCTGAAAGTGAACTACACAGATGTTTCTATTTTCTTTTTCTAAGTCTCAAAGAGTATATTCTTTGGATGCCAGATATTACTATTAATGGCATTGAACTTTGCCTCTTTCATACACATCTGAATGGCCTTCCTTATTCTATGGCTATTGATATAAAAGATGCTGGTCAAGCTAAATGTTTACCCTTGGACTATTTCCAATATATCAAAAGCTATGGAAATAAAATTTGAGTTTATAATATTCTGACATAATTAAAAAATTGTTTTTGTCCTCTGCATTTTAGGCTATCTCTGAAAACACAAATTAAACTGAATTCACTGCCTCTGTAAGCATGATGATTTCCTCTTATTAGAAGGGTATAGCTATCAAACATATAAAATTAGGGTAGTATAGTTAATATACCAACTCCCACCCTGCCACCTGCCTCTACCTGCTTCCTTCCTGCTTCAACTTAAACCCATGAATGGTTTATTTCCTTTTTCATTATTAACAAGTTCCTTAGAATTAGTTATCTGATCAATTACTTCATTTTTCCAATTTGAAATATTAATGCAGATCAATAGGTATTATTAAATGAACGAAGACAAAGAAGAATAAAATAATGGTTAAATTATTTTTTTGACAAGTATTAAATTATGGCTACCAAATCTCAATGTTCTAGAAACCTCTGATACATAAAACCAAAACCCGTCTATTAGCTTGAATTTCTGATATTTTGAAAAATGAAATTGCTTATTTGTTAGGTTCTAGGTTTGGGAATCAGGATGCCTGGATTCTGATACTAGCTCTGCCATACTTACCTGTGTGAGCTGGGACAAATTTCTGATTTTTGGAGCATTAGTTTCCTCACCTATAAAATAATGTAATAATTACACCATCCTCACAATGGGAGGATTAATTGAAGAATTTAGCACAGCACAGCTACTAGCATATAGGAAGCATGCAATGCATGTTAAATATTAAATTATTATTTTGGATATTATAACTTGCATTCTCTGGCCTAAATTAAGAAGTAGTGCTGCCCCAATTTGTAGCAAACACACTCCAAGAAAGGTGCATTTTTTTTTTTCCTGTAAGAGGGAGAGAAAGGCCTTGGTATTTACTCATATAGTCTTTAACTTTAGAAACTGGCGAAAACTTTAAATCATAGATAACACAAGTCCTTAGTCCCCAGATAGGGTGACTTTCCTAAAATCACACAGGAAGTTTGAAGCAGAATCAAGACCAAAATCCAGCTCTTGGATCCTTGGTCTCACGGGCTTTTCCATTATATTGCACTATAGCTTCAGTAGCATTACAGTAAACAAAACATCCTGGGATTGGAGGTGCAAGTATTGCAACAAAGGCTGGGAAAGGCTAAGCAATCTCCGAAAGAGAGTGAGTGAGTTAAGCAGAAGATTCTTAAATCAAGTCCCACCTTTAAGCACATACTTTCCAATACAGTAGTGCCAGATTCACCCCCTTTTACCAGAGCCTCGCCTGCAATGGCAAGACTTCCTCAGTACAGAAGTTTTATGCCTTCAGTTCTGGCCCTTAGCCTCACTGAAAAATTCTGATTTAAAGACAAATTCAAGAGAAATGTTAAAGGTTACCTTAAGCCACGTTGTTGCCGATTTGAATGGAGGGGGACTTATTTTTGCTTTCACTTTCTATTTCATAAGTCTCAGAACGTTGGCTACTTCCTGTTCATAGCACTAGCTGGTTCACCATCACATGGATATAAACGGGCTTAGCACAGAAGCTTTTGTTCGGAAAGCAGGGGGAACTAGCAGGTGGCTTCGGAGCGAGAGCCACACCACAGCAAGTCAGGGCAGGCATCTAGCTTTTCGGCTGCTGCTCCGGCTGCTTTTTCTTTCCCATTTCTTATCCCCACGTGTAAGCATTCAGAACCCAGCTTGAGTGTGTGTGTTTTTAAAGAGATGTTTTTATTGATTTTAGAGAGAGGAAGGGAGAGGGAGAGGGAGAGAGTGGTGGTAGTTCTGCAGCATTCCTTTTCACAGGACCCAGCTTCGTTGTGTGTATCTGTCTGTGTGTCTGTGAGTTCTCAGGATTCTCCCCTGCCCCTGAGGACAGAAGTGATGACGGAGAGTGAGGAACCAGGGTGATCATATTGATCTATGGACTCCTAGAAGAAAAAGTTGAGTAGGATCCAGGTGACTTCATAGCTTATTATTTAGAACTATTTCTCACCAGAGGGGTTTCTAACTCTTTTTTCCCTGATAATAGAATAAGCTTTGGGATGTGTGTTACTTAGGGAATTCACATACTTCACTCTCTCATGTCATCCTGGTCTTCCCAACCACCTCTTGCTCAGAGAAGCTGTCCTTGTTGGCTCTGTCTAAACAGCAGCACTCCTCCCTAAGTCCACGCCAGCCTCCACCCAGGGGCTGTCTCCTTAGCCTGCTTTACTTTTCATCTTCACATATATCAATTCCTGATACTTCTCTATGTAAGTCTTTATTGCTTTTGTCTACCTCCCCAATAGGACATAAGCTCCTTGCTGGCAGGGAATTTGTCTGCTTTGCTCACCACTCCATGCCCAGAGCCTCAGGAAGCGTCCGGCGTATAAGAGACCCTCGATAAATATCTGCTGAGTGGGGGAAGGCATTTTTAATGTTTTTAGGTTTTTCTTTTCAGAACTTGCTCCATGCTTCAGGCTAATTGGGGAAACTCCCATTTCCAAGTGAGCCAGCATTTCCTCACCTTTACTGAGGCTGCCACTCTGTATGCAATACATCTCTCTCAATGTGTCGTGTGTAAACCTCTCACAAGGCAAATGTCACCTCCAGGAAGCCACCTGGGAAGTGACATATGCTTCCTCCCAGCCCCTAACTAGGATTTGCTCAGTCAGTTCTACTGGCCCTTACCTTATGCTGCCATATTTGTGCTCCATATTCTTCCTTAAATGATCACTCCTGAAGGCTAGGGCCGCACGCGTGCCCCCACCTTGCTCCAGCACTGCTCAGAGTTGTTTGTGCCCCTCGTAGGCCCTGAACACACAGGCGAGAATGAACGAGTTAAAATTAATTTGTCAAAGAGTTCAAATTGATGCATTTGTAAAAATGTTGAAAGATTTTTACTCATTTTTAATGGAAATCTTTCTCAAATATCTTACAAATATTTCTATCCCCTTACGGTGTTCTCAACAGATTTAAATCTTAGTGGCTCAAGTTTTTATTTTATTTTATTATACACTAGACCTAGAATCAAGAGATATGTGAATTCCCTAAGTAACACACATCCCAAGAAGCAGTAACAACACTTCCCTTAATTATTACAGAGGATTATTGTCCATCTCGGAATGACTGTGATAATACATATGTGGAAACAGTCTATAAATGGTTTAAAAACTTTAAAATTGTTTACATGCATCAGTTACCTTTTATTAATAATCATCAATGCTATGTTGTAGTGAAGTACTGTCCTTGAGGCCAATCAGATGTAATAACCCATGTTGCTATATATTTTTCAATTCTGTGGGTACTATACAGAGTTTATTCCAGTTTCTCCATCATTATCAGTTTTTTAATTTACTTTCATTTGTTATCTCAGCTATTCCCAATATCCATCCTAGACCTATTTTAAGTTTATTCCTTCTAAAAGTGCTACAGGCTGACAAATTAGCAAATGAAACTAGTAGGACATTATTTCAGGCACTCAGATGCCTTAAAACTTATTTCTTAATGCTGCCTGTGGCTTTAGTGTTGTGGGTGGTGAGATTTCAGTATAAACAAAGTGATTAATAGCCTCCTGACAAATGAAAGGTTACTGAATCTCCTTTTAGCTTTTTGCTGTTGAATTTTTCCTCTTAACATAGACATAACTTGGCCTTTGTTCCTGCTAGATGCTATCACTCTGAATACCAGCTAGCTTACAGTTTTAAAAACTACTTCTTCTCTGCCTGCCATTTCTTTTCAAAAGGATCTCTAAAAATCTATTGAAAGTACTTCACGAAATTATTGCTATGCCTCTGTACATTTTCAAATAAAATAGAGGCAGAGTCTATAATATGGTTTTAAAAGTTTTAACTTAAAAAATAAAGTTTATGATAGTACAAAGACTCAGAGTCCATGAGGGGGGCAGGGAATTCACCTAGAAAATGCATTCTGTAGTTTCTTTTAAACTCATTCAGTTTCAACAGAAAATTAAAACAGCATAATATCAGAATTTTAAGTCAGTAACTGGCAGGAAGGTGGTTTTTCAAACATTAATAATCTTTAATATGCCTTCCACAACATTTACTAAAAATGAAAACAGAAGAAAGTCACAATGAAAATTTTACATTGTTAATGTAAACCAGAATATTTAGTACAACTGAAATTATACTATATTTAAATTTTTTATTTAATAGCCAAATGAAAAATTATTTTGCTTCTGTCCTTTCCAATTAAAGATCACAGAAATAACTGATGACACATTTTCAAGCAGGAAAAGTAATTTAAAAAGAAATCAAAGTGATTCAGAGCTTGTTAAATATTTTGAAGGGGAAAATTTTATGCTTCCAACTGATTAAACCAAACAAGACTATTGTTTGGCTTCCCACTACTTAAAGATTTAGCTTAAAAATCTGTAAGAACTTCCACTATGGCCAAAATAGAGTAGGGCCTGGGATTTATCTCCTCACTTGCAACAACCAAAAAGAATGGACAAAGGACAGTTGCAAGGCAGTGAAGACAGTGATCACCAAAGAGAAATATGTTGACTAAATTCCCAACTCTTACCTACAAGGAATTAGAGGCTTTCTCTTTCTCCTGATATCCCTTGT